AGATTATTTATATAGAATCAAATATTCAACAATAAGTATTTTTGAATCGTATCGAGCATTTTTTAATAGTTTAGTTTAAGGTAAAACTAACAACTGTAAAGCTCAACCATTTAAAATAATTTTAAAAACTTTTTATAACAGGGAATTAAATTTTGCAGGATTTTTGTAAAAGAATTTACAAAAATTAATGAAAATTTTAATTACTTTACTTAAAATAGGGGAAAACACTGCAATAATGGCATACATTTGACTTTAAGTTTGAATAACCGTTAAACCTGTCGGTTTATCAAAAAATGTTATGAGACGTTTTTTGTAGAGCGTCTAATTATTAAGGGTTGCGATTTTAACAGGCATCTTTTCACAACCCTCCGGTGGTATTAAGGCGGAGCCTGTTAAAAAAGTAAGTAGATTTTTTTGAATCAGTCTAATGCATAACCATAAGTATATGCATATGCATGTCAGTAAATAATTACATATATTTAANGAATAAATTAGTAAAAAAGCTCAACTCGATTCAAAAATACCTATTGTTGAACATTTCCTGAAAACCTTAGATTCTACATAAATAATCTTCCGAAACAAAGCCTATTTACAGTTTCTTTATTGTTCTTTTAGAAGATTATTTATATAGAATCAAATATTCAACAATAAGTATTTTTGAATCGAATCGAACATTTTTTAATAGTTTAGTTTAAGGTAGAACTAACAACTGTAAAGCTCAACCATTTAAAATAATTTTAATAACTTTTTATAACAGGGAATTAAATTTTGCAGGATTTTTGTAAAAGAATTTACAAAAATTAATGACAATTTTAATTACTTTACTTAAAATAGGAGAAAAAACTGCAATAATGGCATAAATTTGACTTTAAGTTTGAATAACCGTTAAACCTGTTGGCTTATCAAAAAATGTTATGAGACGTTTTTTGTAGAGCGTCTATTTTCCTACAAAAATATGTATCGATTTTTTTTAGTTCGATAATTCATAGCCGAGACAACAAGTTCCAATGTTGTAGAAAATTTTTTTCTATGTCATTTGTATGGAAAACAGAATTCCGCGATGCGCGACCTTTTAAACTCAATATTAAGGGTTGCGATTTTAACAGGCATCTTTTCACAACACCCCTGCGGTATTAAAGCGGAGCCTGTTAAAAAAGTAAGTAGATTTTTTTGAATCAGTCTAATGCACAACCATAAGTATATGCATATGCATGTCAGTAAATAATTACATATATTTAAGTATACCATCGCCAGTTGTAAGCCATGAAGTAATTTAATACAAAACAATATTTTTTTTAAGCTTTAAGCAGATGCACATAGCGTTCATTTACTTCAGCGTAAGCTTAGCGTATAATACAATACATTCGTACACAAAGGAAATAGTGCGGTGCGTACAACCTACAATTTCAAGTGTTGGTAGTAGGTATGTATGTGTGGAATTTCCCTACCATTGTAAAGCAGAATGGAATCGGTCTACTAGAGAATTTATAACCATGTCTAGTGNAAGCTTTAAGCAGATGCACATAGCGTTCATTTACTTCAGCGTAAGCTTAGCGTATAATACAATACATTCGTAAACAAAGGAAATAGTGCGGTGCGTACAACCTACAATTTCAAGTGTTGGTAGTAGGTATGTATGTGTGGAATTTCCCTACCATTGTAAAGCAGAATGGAATCGGTCTACTAGAGAATTTATAACCATGTCTAGTGCGCGTTAATTCTCTTTTGCATGCTAGCAATTGGCGAATTTAACAAGACGATGTCCTACGAAGGGTAAATTGCCCCCGTTGTATCCCCTATTCAATAGTTCCGGACCAGCTCTAAAATCGACTGACGAAAAAAGTATGTGAGTGTGCAGAAATAAATGCTTACTGTTAGATTCAAGAAGATCCCAAGATATTACAATGAAATTTTTGTTTTGTATTGCCAAGCTATGAAAAAGCATCTGTGAAGTGCAGAGTGAAAACGCAATTTGAACGAAAAAATCCGCAAGTAAGTATCTAGTTAAAGTAAACATGATCCCCGCTGCATATCTTTTTGGAAAATGGAAAAAGCAACAAAGTCTAACCGGTAGGAGTTATAGCTCCTATTTCGGAGACAACCACATCTCCTCATCGAACTTCTTTTTTCTAGACTTTCAGCAGGGATCGAACCCGCATCATCGATGTGTAAAGCCAGCAAACCTAACCACTGAGCTATGCACACCCCGTTAGGTGTTGTTGCGAATGCCTACTATCGTGTTGTATTCGTCCCTACCTACAAGTCTGAACTTTGTTATCTTTATGATGCGTTTTCACTGTCGCACCGTGTAATCCGTAAAAAATCAGCGTTGTAATTTTTCGCTAATGCATACGGTTGCTTGAAGTAGCCTTTTCACTACGTTGTAACTTCAATAATGCTCAAACATTTGCGTAGTCACGTTCTAATCTGTCGGTTGCAGGCCCTGTTTCAATGCTTAGGGTCGCTATCTTTCTACTCTATCTATTTGTTAACTTCATCCCCATAGAATGGTTCGGAAGCCTGTAGTACTTCCTTTTCAAAAAATTTTGGCATAAATTGATCTTTCAGGTTTGGACTCAAGATTGCGGAGTCCTCAAACAAGACTAACGCCTTACGCGAGACAAACTGACTCATACAGATACAAAATATATAATTACCTCGAATTATGCCATGGGAATCTTCTAAAACTAATGGTGACTTGGTCTCTTCCAAAAAATGTTGTCGTTCCACGGTGCAAAATCTGTTGGATGTTACACTCAACCCTATGAAAAGGAATTTTTTTGCCTTCTTGTCCTTGTCTAGCTCATGCATTTCGTAATATTGTCGTTTTAAACAACCATATGATTTTCAGGGCAACCATCTCCCCTGATAAACCTTCACAGCGCAGAGAACGTGCATTCCAAGAGTGTGACACTTTAAGAAACGAACACGAAATTTTCGCACCCTTTGCATTTTTTGCATTTATTTTTTAAGTGCAGTTTAAATATATGAACTATCGGTAAGGGTAAGATGCCCAAACTAGTGGCATATGCAGACGACATGCCGTAGAAGTAACTGGGAAGTACCTAGACATTATCAGTAATGTAATGAACAACGCCTTGAAAGTCATTGACCAATAGGCATCTAGTGCGGGGTTACGGGTTAAAGCAGACAAAACAGGCATTATACTCTTCACATGTATGTGCAGCTTGGTAGCATTGAGCTGTCAATTAAATACCACAAACATTATTTGGGTGTGGTCTAGGACAGTAAACTGCTGTGGAAACGCAATGTTGAGGAAAGGTGAAGAAACCAAGTAACGCCCTTTACGCACGAAAAATAATGCTGGGAGTCACTTTGGGTCTGTTACCTGCCCTAATGCGTTGGTGCTACACAGCAATACTCAGACCAGTACTGCTCTATGGCGCTTTGGCAAGGTGGAATGGCGTAAACAAATTCTCATACCTCGGGCCAAGGAAGAAGGTTCAGTGCCTCGCGGAACTAAGCATCTCCGGAGCACTGAGGTCCACTCCAACGGCTGCTCATGAAAAAATTCTCTGTAAAACCGTGCTGGTAAATCCGCAGGTATATATTTACGTTCATTATATGTACATTGTACATATGTACATACAAATTTACAATGCAAAAGTAAGTTTGAGTATTTAATAAAAACTACCGATTACTGCTCTGAAATATTGTTGGGATGTTCAAGCCATTCCAAAACGAGTTTACAACCAGTAAAGAGTATGTATGTATGTATGTTAAAAAGGACATACCCGCGATCAAGTTTGACGACGACATTGGGACTGAATTCGGGCCGATATTGATTCTTTATACTAATCAGGTATTAACTAGGTTTATATTTTGGAAGTTCTTTATTCAATAAATAGCTTCCACCATAATTTGTCACAGAAATATCCACTGAATACCAATCGACACAACTGTTTTGCATTTTTAGTACTTCCCTACCAAAAATAAAAAATAAAAGCGTTGTAAAAAATAAGAAAGACAATCGCTGTTCTCATTCCACTCAACTGCCCGCACTCAAAAATGAATGGAATTGCTTTGTACTTACGTTGAATTATCACAACTGGCTGTTGAACCATTGGCTGCGTGGTGGCTGACGCATTCGACGTGTAAGTCTGATGTGGTGGCGGTATACCACCACCCATGCTGGTTGCTCCATAGTGCGGGTTGCCGCCAAAGGTGTGTTGAGCGCCAATTCCGCCGCCGGCTGCTGTTGCTGCTGCGCCTGTTGCTTTTGTGCTGCTATATTGCTGTTGTTGCTGCTGCTGCTGCTGCATCTGCGCGGCGCCACTGGGCGTAGGTAAAACTTGCACTGGGGGATATGGTGCTGCATGAGTGGCTTGATCATAGGATGGCGGTGCGGCTGGTGACTGTTCGGTATAGCCGCTATGTGTGGCCTCTTGCATCTCGACTGGCATGCGCGGATAGTTGCCGGGGTGGCCCGATTTCTCCATCACTAAGATGTTACAATTAGGAAACTTCCTCTATATTAGTGATCGACTTAATTAGTCGCAGTGTCTGAACTCAATCACTCGCTAATTTGAAACGAGTGCTTATTTTTAAATTGTGACACGTATACCACCGAATAATCGTTTTTCTTTTCGTTGCTTGTCGATTTGTTTATTGCGCTTCGCATCAACGTCACGACTTCGTTGTGAAATGTAATGTTATCGTTATATGTATGTAATAAATTTTATTACTCGTTTCGAAGTTTTGAAAATCGCGTGCGTTCCTCTACGTTGCCAACACTTGACTGTTTGCTGGTTTGCTTTGGGGCTATTGGCTTTTGCCGCTGTTGCTTCGGTGGTTGTGCTAATCATTCTGATTAAACGACCACTCTCGTCGATTCTCCATATATCGCACACGATCTTCAAAAGTGACACAACTCAAAATTTGGCATTTTTGAAATTATGCACTAAAAATGTACACAGAGCTCTTATTTACCTTTAAGCAAAAGCTGGAGCAAATTTTTGTTATAATTTTTGAAAAAACTAAAACCTTGCCCATATGATTAACATGTGCTACGAAATAGTTTTTCGCATTTTCCGAAGAGCGTATAATTTTGAGTACATACAAATATGTTTGTAGGAATCACTGAAATGGTGTTGCCAACTACACAGTTTGCTCAAAGCGAATTTATTTATACATGACTACTAGCTTTTGTCACCTCATTCGAGCTTATTTGCTGATAAGTTATCTATGTATATATGGGCTATGTAGTTAGTAACATGTTTATATTTGACTATTTTATTGGTAAGCAATATGAGTCACTATCTCCAACAGTTTTCCCTTTTCTGAAATTATAATGAGTTAGAGGTTGTCTGGACTTGTACTACATCGGACCATCCAACTTTTTTTCCGTATCCGATTTTATGAACAGTGAGTGGAAATTCTGAAAATATAATTTAACAAGTGAAGAAGTCTAAGCTCGGCGAAATTTTCTGTAAACTACAATGATAAGCAAGACTTTTTTCCCCGATTTGAAACAGTTTCAATAATGTGCTATTTCAGACTTATTGAAATAATTGGACTAAGTCTGGTGAAAATCAGTAAAGCGTTGACCGATATACACTTATGTAGTCAAAAGTGAGTGGTGCCGGTCCCATTTTTTTCAAAAAATCTATAATCTTATTTCTTGTTAAGAGAATGTTGTGAGAGTAAACTTGGAGTAAATTGGCGTAATTAGTTATTGGAATATCGGAGTTTCCGCATTCTGAAATTTACCGTTAGATGGGAAGTGGGCGTAAGTTTAGTCAAATTTCCCCAATTATGCAACGCTCCCGCAAAGAGCATGTCAGCCGTCCTCTGTGCCCGTGCAACCTTGCCTCTGGACTGAGTGTTGTTTAACGCAGGCCACCATATGGTGACCCCTTAGAAAAGGATGGGTCTTATCACAGCCGTGTACATTCAGTGTACTATATGTGATTTTAATCTCCATTTTTAAATGTTCCGCTTCCAGTCTAGTTTCATGTCTAAAATAAACCCAAGGTATTTAACCTCGGTTAAGAGAGTAAGTGCCGCTCGGTTTAAGGAGGGAGATTTTAATAAGGCCCTCCGCATATGGCTCGTCTCGTCATCGGCGCGACATGTATTTTTCATGCAGCGGCGATGACGATACGCTTACGGTCCGCATACAATGCGATTATCTATCGCCAAGAACGAGTTGTCGAGCAGCAATGATGTGGAATTTCATTTATTAAATTATCTTAGTTAAAATATAATTTACAAAAAAGTTCAAAATGGAAACAGAATTTATTAATAAATTAGTCCTCGGAAATTTGAAGGCTTGCTTTGAATTAAAGCTTAGTCTTTTGGCTACACGTCTTTGGTAAACCTTTTCGATTCGGGTAACGCGTTTTGACGCAATAACCCAAAATCATTGTACAAATAACCGAACCGTACCCTTTGCGGGAGCTCGTCGGCGAAGTTTACACATTTTATACTGAAATTAATTAATAATTTAGTGGCCAGAAATTTAAAATCATTGTTTTAAATTAAATTTCGATTTTTTGTGTAGTATGCCGCATACTGTATGCGTATATCAAAACTTTTTGATTTAGGTCACGCGTTTGGACACAATAACCCAAAATCAAATTACAAATAACGGTCCCCATTTATGTACAGATCGGTTAGATCTCTATTTGAATATTCCTGTAAATTATTATTATATAGGATCGCGCGATTTTCGATTAACGCATTTTTGTATCAAAACTTTTAAACACTCCGAAAAACATAAACAAACTGCAAGCGTGCTATCGTACGTGACGACAAGCAACCGACAATGCTGTACCTTTACCCTTATATAAGTAAAGTGTTTAAATTTACTTTGGTCTTCATTTTTGCCTTTTTTTGTGCGCATCTTTGTTTTTGTTTTTATTTTTACCTTTGCCTTTATACCTTTCTTTATCTATGTACGTACTCACCTTTACTTTCGTTCTTGTGTTGGTCTTTTTCTAAGCGTTATTCTTTAATCTTATATTAGCAAAAAGCACTTGTTTCAGTGCAACCATTTCCGTTGCACCATTGTCGTTGCATCATTTCCGTTGCACCATTTCCATGTGCAATTTCCGTTGAATTTGCCAATTTACAAACAAATTAAAAGTTTGCAATTTTACGTGTAAAAATATAAGTTCTGAGAATAAAAACAAGGTAATAGGTGGCACGCTGAGTAATCGTTTCTAAGTAAGTCAAGTCAAGTCTAAGTCTTGCATAACCCAGCTTTAAGACGTTTTTTACGTTAAAATATATAAGTTATAATTGAATGAATAAAAAAAATTTAATGGAAAAGTCCACCGGCAGTGGGACTCGATCCCATGACCTTGCTGATCGTTAATCTGAATTACTGCCATCTCTCAAGCCACAATTTTGATCAGGTCAGCTGCGCCGTTAATCGGGATCAACGTTGCCGTCTGTCTATGCTTTAACGGCAGTCTCAAGAAGAGCTAGATTCGCCATGTTTGGGCCGTAGGGAGAGGGATGTTAGGCGATCTTATGCAAGTGGGCATACAAAAAGGTGGTTAGTGTCGTCGGGCCATCTGGCTTCTTATTGAAATTGGACTGTACAGTTAACCTGCCACCATATCCAGAATAGAGTTGTGCCAAGTATCACCAGCCTCACGAAGTAACAGAGCTCTTCGTCTGCAATAGGTGGCGTTGGTCTCTGATGATGGAATTCGAGTTTGACGAAGGGTTTGACTTATTCTCGATGAATTGCCTATCTATAATAGAGTATATCTGCATATAATAGACAAGAGTATGTTGTGTTAACAATGTAGTCTTGTTAAGGTCGGTGAACCCCATTAAGTGTGCATTTGTTTGCTACTTTTTTCTGTTTTACTTGTAATCCAAAATAATTAGAACTTATTTTGCAGTATTGCTTTCTAAATTAAAGCTACAACTATTTTAAGCAGCCGTATTGTAATTTTAGTCATACTTTCCAACTAACAGCAAGTGTTTACTATAGGTTTATCCTGTTTTTTCTAATGTTGAAAATGGGGAACTATGATTATTATTTTTTGAATTCGTTACTTTTAGAATAACTCAACCGGTTTTAGAAAATAGGCGAATAATCGAATAAACCTAATGTAATGTAGCATGTTCATAGATACTAGACAAAAATGATTTCGTTCCGAATGAAACTTGTCCGATTATCGTTTTCTGGCTAAAATTGTTATTTCAGAATTATTTTGTGTGCGACTTTTGAGCATTTTTAATACATCCATATAAGCATGTAGTTAAAAATATAATTTTTTTTCTTTAGAGACTGATATTCTGCTAAAATATTGTACAAGTTCTAGTTAACCAAGTATTTAACGTTCAACCATTTACCGAAAGTGATCGCCACTTTTTAACGATCATACACACCCAAAAAAGCATTGCAGGTTGGACAGTAATGTTCCACATTTCGTGCGCACTGCGTACAATATAACATGCCAGCGCAAGGTATGCAGCTGTGGACAAAGAAATATTAGTATGAATACATAAATATTATTGAACTGTTAATAAATAATCCCACATACAGCATTCCAGCGAGAAGTAATGCGATGATGTGTGTCTTCGATGATGCTCGATATTCCAGACGCGAGTTGACCTGCTTTGAACAATTGGGGCAGGTTAAACTGCAAGGAATGGGGCCAATTGGTGTTGACATGGTTTTCCAGTTAATGGATCAATAGTTAAGTGATCTGTAAATAGTAAAGAAATTTGAAGGTAATATACTATTAATGTATGTATGTATATTAGGGTGCTTTTTTGCGGCATTTGTTTTTCACTGCTACCTCGAAATTTTGTGGAAAAGACCTAAAAAAAAACTCCCTGAAAATCTAAACCCTTATTATTAAGATTAAATACTCGCCCAAGGCGTGCAAAGATTTGCCATACAAAATACGCGTAAACGTTGATTGTTTTTCTTTATAATTCTATAGCACAGAGGCATTTTATGGTGTAATCATGGTCAATGATGGGTTTTCTACTTGAATGTGGTTGTTGTAATTTAGCATTTTTCTACTAACAACAATCTTTACACTGTGGATGTAGAAACAGCGGAGCAACCTCGAATTTCGTTTTGTTTTTATATTTTCCCGTACTGGCGCGTCCGTTACCAAAAACCTTATTCATTGTTATAACTAGTAGGCAGAATATTTGAAATCCATATAGGTTTCAGTTTTAAAGCAAGATTATTAACTTCTTTTAAAAAATAAAACCATTAGCCCCCGACAAATCGAATTTAAAATTTTATTTGTGTTCGAAATTAGTCGCGTCCGTAACCGTGGGAAAAATTCAATCAAAAAATACACCAACAACTTCTTCCAGCAAGGCATACGCTGGGTTTCCCTTTCCTTGCACTTTTAGATTTAGCTCATTTCGATATTATATCTGAAGAGGAGTTGAGTTTTTGTAGCCACTCAAATTCGAGGTGGACAATGCATTTTTCATAGAGGAACACCTTTATTTCACTGAAGCACAAAGCAAGCCGTCTCAATGCATTTCCTCTAGAAAGCCGACGCACTTTATTGTGCAGATGTAGTTCAGAGCGAGCCGCAGATAGCCGACACCTGGTCTAAGTCTAAGCTATGCAAAAATGTTCCAAATATTTTAGGTATTAAATGTTTTCATTGGTTTTCATATATCGACTGACATCTTATTGAGGTTGCTTATTCGTTGAAAAAATATTAAAATGCAACACACTAGAAGCTTGTAACCTAACCTTTTTTGCTAATATCATCTTCCATTATATCTTGTATTCTAACTCACCTGACGTTATAATTAATTTTTTGTTAAACTTCAATAAAAAAGAAACATAATTCGAGTATTTATAGGGAAAAATCTTTCACGTCCGTAATGAGAAATAGAAGACATTCTTTGACCTTCAATTCCACATTCAAAGAAAATAATTTTTTCTCCAAACATCGCTAAATTTGGAATATTTTTACATGCGCTAAAAAATCAACTTTTTTGTCGCGTCCGTACCGTTTTTTATTTGCTTGTATCTGTGTACTTAACTGTTTATACTTCCAAAAAATTTTGTTGAATGTAGCAACTTCCCAGTGTTTTGTAAAAGTTGTAATATACATACGATCTTTTACTTCTCTTCCTATTTTAAGCTTAGTTAAACCCGTGCGAATGTCGGTTTCGTAACCCAGCATATGCTCATATGCATGTACATTAGGGTGCCCATCGAAAAAGTTTTTTTTTTTGAAACTGCACGACCCTACCTCCTAATTGTATTCGTTTTAATGGGAAATATTATTGCCTATTTCTATAGATTTTTCAAAGGTCATTTAGAGAAATGCAAACTCAAATTGAACAGGTTGCAACAGCAACTATACAACAAGTAATTTTTAAGCAAAAAACAAAATCGGCTTCAATTCTCATATAAAAAATATCTCATAAAAAAAAATATATATATATATATTTCATGATTCAATGACCGGATCAAAGCCATATTAGTATGGAACCAGCTCTGAGACACTACCTTTCCGATGCAAAAAGAATTATCGAAAGCGGTTGACGTGGTCCAAAGTTATGCGGTTAAAAATAGGGAAATTTTTAACTGATCATAAAAACTCTACTCTTCTACACAAAAATATCTTTCTAACGGTGTTCTTGGTTTTAAAATCGATCCGGGGCAACGAAGGCGGAAAAATGTATGTTAGCGTATTAATATATAGATTTGTGCCAGTTACCAAGTATAAGATAGTCCGTAAATTTCACAAAAGAGGAAATAAATTTACTTTCTTCAAAAACATTTTAAAAGTTTTCTCACTTATGGCGTTCAAAATATGAGCTTCTACTAAAATTATTCACCAATAAATTTTTGAAGTAGGCAAGCACTGAGACGGTACCGAAAACAAATTTTTTTTTGTGCCACCCCATACGGGGTATTCTTTTTTGCGGATACGAGATATTGCGCTCCAAGGGAAATTTTTAATCTAGGTATGTATGTAGGTATGCTGCTTTAAAAATATAAAATTCTTACCAAAATATCTCAATTAATACTTTTTAAAAACCAAAATTCCAGCAACTATGTTCACCTAACGAAATTTGCGACTCAAATACGTCGTCCGCCTTGAACGCCTCGAAACACTTTAGTTGGTGTCGTAGAATAGATATTTGGTGCCAGCAAATAGTACATACATCAGCGGTTGTAACAGCGAAGTACTGTACCCATAAGTACATATGTACGCCCTTCAATAAATGCGCTTATTAAAAAAAAAAAGTTATAACAACTAAATGCAAAATTGCACGCAAGGTTATGCATGCGTGTTGTACAGTAAAATTATACTACATTTTAAAATATATCATCTTATCTTTGAATGTCATCTCAGGGAATACATATCTACAGTCTCGCTGCATAAAGCAAATTGATTAGTCTAATTCATATGTGGTTTGAGACAGGATATTTGAAAATTAATCATAAAAAGGTAATACATAAGCAATTGTTATTTTTTATTTTATTTATTTTTTTATTCGAAAATACGCATATCCGATTAATGTCCATTAATTTTGTTATCAGCATGTTCGGATATTTCGTACTTTTTAATCACTCAAGTACCCTGATATTCAAAAAATTCGCATAGAACACCCAGCCCTAATCTTTAAACTAGCTAAGGAAAAAATCTCCGTAAATATGGTTCAATTGTTTTCCAAAATATTCTGCAGCGTGGTTTATAAACATTTGCATACGCTTAAACCAATTGGTGAAGCATTTTCCTTACAATCAATTGGGAACCTAAAACACATGGTCAACATCTTTTTCTAGCGATGAAAATCGTTGGCCGCGCAGTTTATCTTTTATGGACGGGAACAAAAGAAAACATTAGGAGCAAAATCAGGACTGAACAACACAAAATCCGGTGGAAAAAATTCAATTTTTTGAACATTAGAGCACAAGAGACGACCTTAAAGCTAGTGTGGGACTTCCTTCAGTTTTTAACCTTCCGTAAGCTTGATGTTGGGTCCAGAAAACCCCAAAATGGAACATTACGTTTTAGGGCCTATTAAAGAAAGGATTCTTACTTTATTAGTAAATGTATGCAGTAAATGCATAAACTTATAATTTAAATAAAACAACAATTGCTTTACTTCAAATATATATTGATACGACTAAATGTATATTTAATAAAAAATTAACACGACATTACTGAACAAGTGCGGAAGGTGAAAGACAGTTTGAAGTCCTTTGTGGATGTATACATCAACAAGGAGAGCCGATGCACTCCTGCGCCTTAGTAGGCATGAAATAATAATTGTTACAGGTTTTCTTACATTCAGCTAAGTTCTGTGATTTTAGCTCTAGGTAAACGAGGAAGGGGATTATGTCTTCAATAGTTCCTGGAAGTTCTTCCGAATCCAAAAAGCATTAGTATTTTTAATACGATAGTAAGCTATTGATGACACAAAATAAAGTATTGCTTCGTGTGCCTGTAATATTAGCTATTGGGAACCGTTATATTACAACCACTTTCATTGCTCTTGTCTATAAAACAGTCTTAGCATATTAATGATAAAATTAAATTGACAATACTAATATCTACACCCAGTTCGATTGAACATGCATATCGCTAGCTTAGAGTGAAAAGTTGCTAAGTCCACTTTTTATGAAAACTCATATTTTGACATAGGAGGCTAAAGAAATTGAATACGCATCGTTTCGAAAATTATAAAGGTACTCGTTTGGTTTTTTCCTCATCATAAGCAATAAAAGGAAAAATTGCTAAGTCCAAAATAAGCACCACAAATCCGATAAGGCCAAAATAATACGACATCTTTTAATAAATATCGAATCCTTTTGATTCTTATGGAGTTTTGCTTTGCTTTAAACGCGCAAACTGTTTGATTCAAAGTATTGCGACATAGTTAAAGAAAATGGCTATAGGAAGATTTTTTCCTCTCCTGTAAAATTTTTAAAATGGGACTTAGCAACTTTTCTTTCTAAGCTAGCGATATTATGTTTCTTCAAGAATCGGACTTATATGTAGGTATATGTATAAGTATCTTTACTCTGGGCACCGGAAAAGCTTCATTTGGGTATATATAACTTTGAAGATTTGAAGATGCACAGTTTTTTAAGCGCACGCTTTGAACCAACATAACATACCCGCCAAAAAATTTGCTCCTTATATGAGCCTTATTTGATATGACCCCAAGTCTTAATAAGGAATACCAATTGTATGGCACTATTGGTGTCGAATAAGGTTAACTCTGCTATGCAAAATACGGCTTGCATAAGGCCCCTTGATAAGAAATTGAGTCTCATTCAGTGATGCCAACCGGGGGAGAATTTTCCGATTTTGGTGGAATTTGAATTTCTCGAGGGAATCGGGGAATGGCTTTAATTTTTGGGGAGTTCAATATATAAACGATTTTTCATTAGAACATTCCTATTGAGAATAAAACTATAACTTGTAATAACAATCTTTCATACGGGGTTACGGATCTGAAATATAACGTAATTGCCACATGCAACCGTGTGATATTAAAGAAATTGTTACCGTGAATAGCCGCATTTTTTACTTGACTTTTGTATTTGACACTATCATTTCTCATTTCGTTTGCGCCAAACCGAACTGGCAAAGTTTTAAGCAGTCTAATAAGAGTAAGTATCTATTACTATATACATAAGTAGATAATTTTTCCGAAATTAATTTAAAAAACTGCAATCAGAAATAGGCTTAGCATAGATACTTTGGAGGCAATTTTACTTACAAAACAACTATTTAGAAATAAAACCTCTCTTGATTTTTGCGGCTTGTAGACAATTACAAAAATTTCATCAAGATATATACGATTCTAAGCACCGTGTCGCTTTGGTAATTTTTAACCATTTAATTTTTCTTTCTTTATTTGGTAATTTATTTTTCAATTTGGTAACTTTTCCGATTCGGTCCTACATGCCCCATAGGTCAATACAGGAACTGATTCCACATTAGGAAGTGGCCCGTAAGAGTTTCCTTTTATACAAATAACGAGTAATCCTGAAAGTTTCGCAAGGCGAAAAGTTGGTCCAGCGTTCCTTGGCTCTCGAATGGTGTGATCTCTAACAAAGTGCTTAAAAGTTGTTATAGCTATATCTACCGAGTCCTATCCTGGAAGGTTGTGGGTGGTCCTACCTTTCCTTGTCAGTTCACTAGCTTTGCATTTGCCATCAATATTCCCGTGTACCCCGGCAACCATATGAGTAAGGTTCTATGTAAATATGTACAAATCGTAGATGTTTATGCACTTTGATGGCCTTGGGCGAGCCTAAGATATTGACCAGAAATTGTCATCTTTTGCCCAGATTGTTTTTAGAGCATAATGCACCATATTTTTGCTATTACCAATCAAAATTCTAAAAAGCGGATTTTTGGCCATATTGGTCATAACTGGACAAACGTTGATTTTAAAGTGCTCCAAATTTTAATGTTTAAGTATTCGCATAAATACGGCCATCCGAATAGCCCCATAAAAAGTCCAATGGGGCGAAGTCGGCTGATCTCAGTGGCCAAATGAAATCCTCTCTACGGGAAATTATACGCCTGATAATCCTCTGTTGCAATGAACGGTATCCATGGCACTGCGAATTATCATATGCCTTCAGTTGTTTTGTGGTCTGAGCTTTGTATGGATGAAGATGTATATCCAAATGCAAAATATACTATTCTGAGCCATAAGACAGTACCACGCTCATATAACGACACGCAATTGACAAATTTGTTTCTTCGGCCACATTTAGGTTTGAAATCATAACCAAGCATTTCTGGTGTTGTAGCTTCCAGCGCTCACGCAGATATAAAAATTATAGCTTAATGGAGCGCTGATTGCCTGGGAAGCTTCGTGTCTTCAGATATACAGCGTGGCGACGAATAACTGTTACCCAGGTTTTTTGAGAAATAAAAGGGTCCTTTAAAGATTTTGCGAAAAAAGTATTTTATTGATAATTTTCCACAGATTTTACTTTAGTTGCATTAATTAGTTTTTAAATTTTAGTCCTTATTTACATTTGCCAGCAGTGTAAACTTTGAGAGAAAAGTTCATTTGGCACGCAAGTCTTTTTCAGGTGTATTTTTTCTTAGGCTTTGTATAAAAAAAGTACAAAAAAGAAAAAAACTGTATAAGGTTGGTCGAATGAATGACCGTCCTAGTCACCAGTTCCGAGTCTATTCGATTTTTGAGTATGAAGCCTTAGGTTGGACAGAAGGGGGAGTATAAGGGACTCAAAATGGAGAAAATTAGCCTATGGTTACAGAAGATATGGAATAAATTAACTGACGAAGACCTGCGTGCCAAATGAACTTTCCTCTCAAAGTTTACACTGCTGGCAAATGTAAATAAGGATTAAAATTTTAAAACTAATTAATGCAACTAAAGTAAAATCTGTGGAAAAATAACAATAAAGTACTTTTTTCGCAAAATCCATAAAGGACTCTTTTATTTCTCAAAAATATCTGGGTAACAGTTATTCGTCGCCACGCTGTACATATGTACAAACATATGTATGTATACTTCAGCACATAAAATAAGTTTGGTAATTTTTTGTTGAATTTGGTAACTCTTTCTGGGGATTTTGGTAAAAAATAAAAAAATCTTGTGGCAACACTGATTCTAAGGAATAATCCATCTATGCTGGATATACATACATACATATAACCAAATAAAAACCAGGACGAAATATTTAAGGCAAGTTTTGGATATTTTTCTTTAATTTATTTAATGTTTATTATTTTTTTATGAAAGTATAGCCGATTACTTAACAAACACGATATAAAGCTAAATTTCAGACCTTGCGCAAAAATTATGAAAATTCAGAAAAGTTTTATCAAAATTTCTCAGAGTTCAATTCGACATTTGTTGGTTTACATTTTCTTATTCACATTTAGCTTCTGTCCGAAGTAGCCGCGGTGTAGAATACCAACCGTTGCCAAAAAAATAGAAAAAGTGACTCAGTAGAACTTTTCATGCTGATTGTAACCATACCAAGTTTATTTGGCACAAATAAAAACCAAAGCCAATAAAAGAGGTTAAAGTTAAACTTTTATTTTTTTTTTATATTTATAATATCTCGGTAACTATTTGAACGACCGCAAAAGTATTGATACTACTTTAAAGATAATTTAAGTACCGTTTACGCGACGTAAATAGTATAACCCTTTTTAAAACAAATTTTAAATAAAAGCCATTTCAAAAAAATATATATTTATATATATTTTAGTTATTAGGTATTTCTGGCCTAAAAAAATAAAAAAATGAGAAAGTAATGTAAACCAAGTGGAAACCCTTCAATTCGGTTTATTTAGATGGCATTCGTTTTTTCACAGGTTATGTTGTTGAACAGATATTATTTAAAAAAATCAAAAAATTTTACTTTAACTATTGATATTTTCTTTATTTTTAACTTCCGCCAGATAATTTTGGTGGGATTGAAATCAGCACTAAAAGTCCTATCGAGCCACATTTTTGGTTTTCGCATAGCTAGATTGTTGATATTCTAGACATATGTGCACGGAACGACCTCGGACTATTTCTGATTAAATCCTGCAGTACGGGAACAGGCTAACTGTCGGAAAATTGGTTGCAGGTTTGGATTATCAAAGACAGAAACAAATTTCAGTAAAAAAGGGTTGCATTTCCAGGAACTCCAAAAAAAGTGGTGTTTAAGGAGAGTTTAACGAAATTTTTTGAATGGTAAACTCCCAGTTTATGCGTAGTGTTTAACGCTAAATGCCAAAATGGCCAATANCAATTTCAGTAAAAAAGGGTTGCATTTCCAGGAACTCCAAAAAAAGTGGTGTTTAAGGAGAGTTTAACGAAATTTTTTGAATGGTAGACTCCCAGTTTATGCGTAGTGTTTAACGCTAAATGCCAAAATGGCCAATAAACTCGAGTTTATGGCTCAACCTGAACACAATATTGGATAAGTTGAGCTGAGGTGGGATGAGTTAAGGTCAGATAAACTGAGTTGAGGTGAGATAATATTAGTTGGGGTGAGATGAATTGAGTTGAAATGAAATGAGGTGAGTTGGAATGAGGTGAGTTAGGGTGAAATGAGAGGAACTGATGTGAAGTTAGTTGAGGTGAGATGAGTGGAGTTGAGGTGATTTGAACTCAGCTGTTGTGAGTTGAGATGAAATGCATAATACAACAATATAACATAAAATAACTTAACATAAAACACCACAACATAACATAACTAAACAAAGCGTTGCAGTTTTACCTTTTTCTTTGCCTTTGAATCTACCTTTATCACTATATCACTTTCTCAGTCTATCGTTTTTTATCCTTTTTTTATCTTTATATTTACCTTTTATTTTTTGTATTTATCTTTCCATTGCATTAGGTATTTGAATTTACCTTCCTCTTTGTATATATCTTTAGAATTTTTTACTTTAATTTTAATCTTTGCCTTTATCCTTTTCTTCTTATACATACTCAACTTTATTTTATTCCTTGAATCTTACAGCCCACATCATTTACAAAATTCATCGTACGACTACTGTCATAATTACTGGGTCTAAAACCCAGTATACGGGCATGTGCTGCATCGTACGATTTGAGATCGGTATTTAATTCTTGTTCACCACTTCTTCCAATATCGATAACGCGGGACTAAAATTATTCTTATTTGACGCTGTAACCGCTTAAGCAATTTTGGCGGAGCTCAACAAAGCACACCAGTATTTTCTTTTCTGTACCAACTGACGCCAAGACCTTCTCCACTTGTTTTTTCCATCGCAGGGGGCCACCAGCGGGTTCCGAGTTGAACAATTTCAGAGCTGGAGCGCCGATGTCCATTCAAACAACATAACGAAGCCAGCGGAGCTGCTGTAGTTGTATTCGTTTGTGAAGCTCTACAGCTAACGTTCCATCATCTGCGGCACTCGCCGTCGCCAACGCGTAAAGGGCCGTGAATCTTTGGCAAAATCTTTTTCCCGGATACTCCAAGAGCCGCCGCAATGGATATTGCCGTTCTCCATGCTTCTGCGCCATATACCAGCACGGGCATGATGAGTGACTTATAGAGCGTGGTTTTCGTACGTCGAGAGAGGACTTTACTCCTGAATTGCCTACTCAGTCCAAAGTAGCACTTGTTGCCAAGAGTGATTCTGCGTTGGCTTTCTATGCTGACATTATTATCGGTATTAATTCTGATTCTCAGGTAAGCTAAGTACGCTGAATACGCTGACTGTTTGTTTGATGACAGGAATTACTTCGTCTTGTCCTGGTTCGCTTTGCTTCCTTATCCAACTTGGAAAGGGCAGAACAGACTTCGCGGTTTTTGTACCGATGATGTCGATGTCATCGGCTTACGCTAGCGATTGCAGTAAATTGTTCCTGAGGGGTTCAGCTCTGCAGCTCTTATATACATATTGTCCAGCATCAGAGGAAATATCACATGACAGGATCTCGCCCTGTCTGCGATTCCGGTTGGTGGTGAACGGCTCTACCATCAATCAGCCATTAAAATTACGAAAATTCTTAAAAAAGAACTGCGAGAAGATTTCAAAACCCCTTTCGACAACACGAAAATAAATGTGTAATATGGCTGTATAAAATGCCTTTGAGCAACACTACCAGCTCCATCAGGATTACGATTTAGTGTCATGTTGGAGATTGGATAATAAGAGCTGTAGAACAGAAATGCTCAGGAACAATTTTATGCAAGAGTGGAACAAGCGGAGAAGTACTTGGCTTCAAGTGCCCCTTTCCAACTGGCGTCAGTTAGCACAGAACTAGGTTGGTTATTTACTCTACTTGATGCGGCCAAAAACGCATACGCGGTCAAAACGCCAAACAAGAAGATTTTCTTTTATTTAATTTTATTTTATGAATGAAAAAAATGCAAAAGAAAAACAGTTATTATAAGGTTTTGGCTTCGTTTATCACAAGTATATCATATATTTATCGTTAAATGCTTTTTTATCGTTAACAAAGTAAACTTATTAATCTTTATAAAGTAAAAATTTTCCTTTACATTGTCTTATACAAATACTACAGCATATAAGCATAGAATACAAATCGTTTTTTTATTATACAGAGTACTCTATGCATATGTAAAATTTGCTTTGAGTGCTTGCGCTCGTGTGTAGGTTGTATAGTGTTTTATAGTCACTACATAAACAAATTTACATATTTATGCATATACATAAGTGTTTTTGTATTTTTTTCTAACGGTGACCCGTCCTTGTAATTCAATCGATCAAGTTTCACACTTCACCTGGAAGCCGTTCGTTATTTCATCTAAAGTGTTCTGCTTTTCGTTTATCGCTTTAGCTATTAAGTATAAAATTGTTACGCGCGTGCGTTAGGATTTTTTACTTCCTTTTGATTTAATACGTATTAATTTGAATAGGTGCCAATGAAAGCGTTGCAATTTGGACAATAATGATTTGCATTTTGGCAGGACTTCATGCAATAGGGTACACACACGCAAGGCCAACAACTGAAAGTGAGAAGAAAGAGAAAGAATGGTTAGTTTGCTATGTTTTTTTTACATAACTATGCACCAATTTTTATATTTTTAAATATATTTAATAATCTTTGTAAACAAAATATTGAAATGTGTTAATCATGCTTAATGCTTGGCGGTTCGAAAACGCAAACTCGGAAAACGGCTGCAAAAACGCCGCGAATAGGTCTTAAAATAGCTGGATAAAGCCAGCGGTGAACGTTTTTTTCTAACAGCTTTCGCCCCTCTACCAAATACTATTGTTATGAAACGTTTTGATGTTAAGTCGAATTGTTTTGCCTATAGCACTTTTGGATATGCATTGTTGTACAGAAGGTTTCCTGTGTTTGCAGCTAAGCATCGCATCCCACTACTTTGTTTAATTGTCGTTGAGTTGGCCATGGTATTTTTAAATATTTTTGCAAAGTGATAAGTTCCACTTGATATCTCACAAAGAGGCTTCTGTCTCAAATCGCATTTTTAGTTATGTATAAAAATAATACTTATAATATCGATTTATTAACAGTACATGATGGAATATTTTTAATAAGAGGTAAAGAATGCCTCCCGAAAGATTGAAAGATAAACAACTTTATGGTGGTATTTATTTTGTAAAAGTTTATAAAATGCACAAAATCAAACATTCCGTATGTTTATACTTTAAATATTTTCAGGCTTTTGAATCTAAAAAGTCATAACCCTAATGCATCGTTGCATGATCTTCAAAGTTGTATGATTCATAACCATTTACTGGATGCTTATGTACATATTTATTAGAAGATAATGTTATAGAATTTATGTCGAATTGATAAGCTGAACAAATTGTATGACGTATGAGAAATTCCCTGAAAAAGGTATACATACAGTTTGTGAGTCACTTAGCTGATAATAGTTATCAATCTCATTTACATTAGGAAGCCCCACAAAAAAAAGTTCTGTTTTACAATGGAAAACGTTCGGTTTATATACATACTTTGTGGCTTCTAGTGCACTGAATCGGGATCAAATTAGATAAATTTCTAAGCTGGATGCACCAGGAAAACCGTTGCTCTCAAAAGGAGCTCAACTTTGACAAAGAACCAACTCCGCACAAACAAATAATTGCGTGGAAATACACAACTGCCTCGTTATCGGATTGTTTGGTTACGTTGGGTATTTGATTCTGTTTACAAACTTAAATTACCCTGAAATACAGTAGCCTTATAACCAGAAGGGAGTAAAAATCAACAGATTTTTTTTTTTTTTAATTATTGCTCATTAAAAATAAATATTCACTGTTCACACTTTTCAACCTACAATAGTATACACAGTACCAGCGCCCAGCAGTGCGTTCTCGTAGTCGCCTGATGCTTGACAGTGGTCAACACTTGAGCATGGCACGAGGGACAAACGATGCGCGTCGGCTCATTGCTGACGGGTACACCTGCTGAACTCGTTGCTTGAATTATCACTGTTTGGCTATGTGGTGGTGGTGGTTGGTAGGTTTGCGCAGGTGTAAAGCCGGGCTGCGAATTTGACATGGCGTATGAGTTTTTGCAACTGTTCTAAATTTAACCAAAATTTGAATGCACGATGATGCTAATCACTTGTCGGTAAGCTTTTTTTAATAATATCGATTTTATGTACAAACGCGGTGCTGGACAAAACTTAACTGAAGAGGATATCACAAACAGCTTTTTATTAAGTTCTTACCTACCGCTGATGTAAAATACCCGCTGCAATCTTATCTCAACAGGTGTACGTGAATATGGTTGCAAAACGCTACATACATACATACATATTGAAAGAAGAGCGTTTTTACTGCCTCTGTCTTATCTTTTTCAACTGAATGCAAGGCATATACCAAAAACCCACATAAATACATAAATAAAGTGTTAGTAATTTTTTACACAGCAAATACCTATATATGTATATTAGGGCGGATCAATTTTTATGGGAAATTTTTTCGACTAATATCAATATGGAGTTTGCCAAATAGCGCAAATTGGGTTCTTAGCATTTTGCTGTAGTGTCGCAAAGAAGTGCTTAAATTTTGTATAAAAACATGCCATAAGCGTTTTTTTGGTATGAGGCATCAATTTCTGCACTTATCTTTTTCTTAAAACCTCCACCAGAGGGCGCAATAGTGAAAATTTCACATTTTCTTAGAAAATGGTTTCTTCGGCAAATTTGCTTAGAATTGTTTGCTATACGCGCATGGAAATAAAATTTACCCACCCGCATGTAGTAATACCTGTATTTCAGTAATTTTTTATGCTCTCAACATAATCTTATCGGTAAAAGATTCTCTTGAATAGGCTATCTAATACAGATAATTTCTATAAACTTCCGCAACTGAATCAGATTTGTAATCAACTCGGAACACCTGGGCATATGTTTGTATATACTTGTAAGTTATTTATAGGCTCATTATCCATTCATTCCCGAACTTAAGCTTATTAATCAACAAACTTTTTATTATGTCCTTTAATTACATCTGTATGTTTATCGATTCAGTGAAATATATTTATATTAGGGTAGTCTTTAAATGTAGGAAGCTAATTTTTACATTTGATTTCCTAAGCCTCAACCCCTTTCTCGATTCTACTATAGTCAAAGATATTACATATAAATTTGGCCCCGATTGGAGGCGTTGAAGACGTGTCGCACTGGGCGAAAAGTTCAGATTCCTCTATGGAGACTCAAAAAATTTAAATTAATTTTTTTTCATCTAATACCCAAAAACGACACAAGCATAGTCGAAGATATGGCACCCTGAAATTGTGCATATGGAAACTGTGCATACAAAATAATGCATATGAAAAAAACCGAAATAATGCATATATGCACAGTTTCGGTTGAAAACCGAAATAATGCATATTAGAAAAACCGAAATTATGCATATGCACACTTTCGTTTGAAAACCGAAATAATGCATATGAGAAAAACCGAAATAATGCATATATGCATGCGTAGGCGGCCTTCGGCCGTCTTAGGGATTATAACCCTTACTAAGTCGAATTCTCCTTTCTGTGTTGCCGGAAAAGGGGACCGGAAGTATTTTTGCGCCGAACTTCTTTCTGCGTAGGCGGCCTTCGGCCGCGCTTAGGGNTGCGTAGGCGGCCTTCGGCCGTCTTAGGGATTATAACCCTTACTAAGTCGAATTCTCCTTTCTGTGTTGCC